CTTGCCCCACGGATACAATATGTGCGGTACTAAGCCCCCAAACAAAGGTGTCAGTCAAAGGCTGAGTCAGGAGGAAAGTGTGTGGCATGTGGTGCACTCACGCTCACTGTTGGTGTCACTACTACCCTCTCTTCCCCAATGTATTTCTACTGCCTCATCTTCCACACTCTAGTGTATCGCTGAACTATTCATAGTTTTTCTAACATATTCATACACAATCATCACAATCATATCCAATATGCCATTCACACACATTTACCTATTTCACATTATTCGACATCAATCAATGACACGTCTACACATTTCAACTGCATTGGAATCAACCATTTCATCACACATAACACTCAATATCAATCACATTGTACTCGAACACAATATTTTCCGTTGCAATTCATACCAATCAATTCATTTCATCATACACACTACCCAACATCTACCACACTACATTCTACACAACCTTTCCATCGTAATCTTACTACAATCAAATTAATTTCATTAAAACACACATCTTTCTACATTTCAATCATTCACATTACAACACATAGCAAAATAACGGATTTCAAACACAATGAGATAGTGAATTTTATACTTATATTCTCCACTATTTATCTATCTTAAATAAGTAAGTGGTGTTGAAATAATGTTCTCGGTTCCTTATAAAAAAAAGGGTTATGACACTCAAGTTTATATGTTTAATATTCAAAATTTCTTCTTTCATGAGTTTTTTAATTAAAAACCAAAATTGATTCTTTCACAATGCCAGAAACGACTTTTAGGAGCGTTAACTTAGACAACAGTTAATAGAAACCACTCTATAATAATATACTTTGAGAGCTGTTTTTTAAGGTATACTTTTGGGAGTAGTTAACAAAGAATCACTCTCTAATATACACTTCTGAGAACGGTTAGCATTGAACCGGTCTCACAAGTATATATTAGAGAGCGGTTAATGAATAACCGCTCTTACATATACATTAGAGAGCAGTTCTCTATTAATCGCTCTCTAAAGTCACACACTTTAGAGAGCAGTTTTAAAGAGCGGTTATTCATTAACTGCTCTCTAATGTATAATTCTAAAAGTGATTCTTCATTAATCGCTCTTTAATGGAGAGCGGTTAATAAAGAACCGCTCTCTAAAGTCTTTTTCTATTATATAAATGAAGCACGCTCGATGAATCTCTTTGTCTTACTAACAAAGTTAGTCTCTTCTACATCTATAAGTTCTCCTCATCTTCTTCATTTTCTATGTGCTAACAAAGTTGGTCTCTTTCACGATTGTAGGTTTTCTTCGTCTTCTTTGTGCTAACAAAGTTGGTATCTTTCCTATCTGTTGCTACCTTTCTTATAACTCTCTCTATTCTCTTTATCTCTTTTTTTTTCTTTATTAACCATGACCTATCCTATTAATGTTGCAGATGTGGACTGTTTGGTTAATACAACATATAAACTCAAGTTTTTATTTTAATTTATCATAAAAATGAAGAAATTTTGAACGTAGCAATAATTAATTTTAGTTTGAAATAGAAAACTCATAAAGAAATAAATTTCAAATTTCAGATTCGCAGTTCATACTTATACTTTATAGAAAGTGGTTATATGAATTGTTCTCTAAGTGATATCCACCTTGTGCTCTCTAATATCAACATTTGAGAATGATTATTTAACTACTCTCTTAAATACAACACATTGGATTGTATAAGATTTTAGAATAATTCTAAACACTCTTTAAATTAAAATAAAACTGCTCTGATATCTTCATTTTAACGTAGTGTTTGTCATGTTGAAACTTAAGTTTGTATAGTGCGTTAACCAAATAATTTACAATTAAATGAATGAAACACTAGTATACACAAAAGAAAGAGATCAAAATAACATGAGATTTTACTATTGATAAAGAAAAAAAAAAGAAAATGAAAAGAAAAATGTGAGAAATGTACTTAGGATTATGAAAAGAACCAACTTTATTATTATAAAGAAGACGAAAAAGACAAAAAAAATAAAAAATCATGACACTATTGTGAGTTGCGCGCACTATATTATTATGTGCGTTTATTAGTTAGAAGTTGTTAAGGCACCTTAAAATTTTAATTTATAAGAACGATTGGTACATAACTACTCTTGTAATATTAAATTCTAAAATCACATTTAGAGAATAATTATGCATTAACTATTCTAATTAATATTACTTTTAAAAAGTGTTTACGTATTAACTATCTTTTAAAGTTATCTTTAGACAACAGTTATTTTATTTTACTCGCAAAGAATTACTTTAAAAGATCTAAAATGATAATTTGTCTTAAATTAGAAAACTAAAACACTAATTTGACCTAAAATAAATTAAATTAACTTTATAAGTATAAATAATGTGTATCAAAATAATAAAAGTTTAATATAATTAAATAATTCTAAAATATAATTTATTTTAAAATAATGTTTATCATAATATATATTAATAACAATAAATTTAGGTGATAAGACTTCTAAAAGTAACTTCAAATTTATAAAAATAAAATATTTTTTTATAAATATAAAAATAAATATTTTTAAAATATCTAAAATTTTATATAATGTAATAAAGAAAAGTTAAATAACAATTTTAATCTTTAAAATTTAGAACAAAATCAACAGATGTAAGTAAAAAGTAAAACTATTGAATGAGAAAAAGTGAAATTTACACATTTTTAAGTCAAATTTAATTATAAAATATATACATGATAAACTATGAAAAAATAAATTTATAAATGTTTTTCTAGCAAAAAGAATTTAATAAATGTGTTACTTTTCAAATATCTTATAAGTTCAAAAATATTAATTCTGCTTAGATATAATAATTTGTAAGACCTGATGTAGTATTTTGTAGAAAATAATTTCATCTCGACAAAAAATCACCGCCAAGACTTAATTTTAATAAAATCCAGCAAGCATATAGCATTGATGGACTCATTCTTAAAATAATTTCATTACATATAAACTGGAGAGACCATATGAACCCATAGCTGAAAATGATCTCAATAAGTGTTTTAAAAAAGTAACTATGTGCAAGAATGTGATTACATGTTTCATCAAAACCTATAAAATCTTTTAAGGAAGTGGAAGGATAGTGTAATATGAATTTTTTAAGGAAGAAAAATATAATTTTTGTTATCATCAAAATAATTTGTATTACTCACAAGAGCACAAATAATACTCCATAAGAAGAACTTTATACGTGGTTTACACATGTTTGCTATTGCTTAGGTTCACTTGTATCCAATTCCCTGAGCTTGAACTTGACTTAGCTTAAGGGAGGAGAAGCATTGAGACGTACCCAATCTCACAAATCAAAAACATAAGCTAAATATAGGGAGAGAAGCAAGACGTACAGAAAACTAGCGTGTTTCATTAACTTGGGAATAATAGCTTCACAGTCTCCTTCGACTCAAGGCACCAGTAATTATATGAAAAGCAACTTGTTGGCAAATGGGCATATAATGTACCTCATGATTTCCTTTTGATCTCCTCTAAAACTCAATTTGAATTTGCACTTCCAATTGAGAATATAATTGTATTCCTATGGCACCAAATTGTAGTTGTCCAAATTGCACAGGTATCCTTCCATGCTTTCCTCATATTAATCCATTGTGAAAAGTGAAATGTGTGCTCTTCCAGGCTTTGTATTTCAGGTATCTCCATCTGTAACTATAAATAAATTTCATCCTAAATTCTTTTTTATAACTGCAATTGAGAACCAGGTGCAGTGTGGTTTCATTTCCTTCTCCACATAGCACATATGTATTATTATTAGTAGTGTATATTAATCCTCTTCTCCCTAAATTTTGTTTAGAGGAAAAAGCATCAATCAACACTTGCTATGCAAAAATCTTCATCTTATGGGTTGACCATGATTTCCAAATTCTCTTGGTTGCTAGCAAGACCCTTAAATTAGTTTCCTCCACTAAGTACATTTGTTGTTGTATGAAATTGTATGTCTCCTTAACTGAGAATCCTTTTAAGCTATCCGCCAACCAACACCACTTGTCATTTTTATGTGGAGTTGGTTGCAAAATAGTACACAAGTTAGTAAAACACGTAAAACACTCCTCTACTTACACCCTTAGCTCCCTCCTCCATTTAAGGTCCCAAGTTCAACCATTCACCCACACACCAAATTCCGCCACCACTCCCTCCTTATCAACTGAAAGCTCAAAAAAGTTCAAGAAATTGAAAAGTCAAGGTAGTAGTACCAATTGAATTTAACTTTAAATAAAGATAAACTTAAATTATAATAATGTTTTCTATAACTAAAACATCAATTAATTATAATAATTTTTAAATTTTTTGCAATTCAATTGAAAACGTACCTTTTAAATAAGGTCAAAGAAAACAATTAATAACAAAAAATTTAAAATTTATTTTATCTTGTTAGTTTTCTAAAAATATAGTTGCATCGTAGAATATGAAGAGGTGTGGGATATCCATTGGATATTAGCAATAGTGGCAGGCTGGCCCGGACCACAAGTTGTAAGCGTGTGTTGTCTCATGCTAGTGGGTGCACATGGCCGGTATGTATGACTTGCGTCGACTACACTAGTTACTGTCACAGATCAGATAAATGAATAATCAACATTACTCAATAATTTCTATTATTTTATTTTTTTAAATATAATTATATACTATCGTTATAGTAATATCAGACTGGTTAATTAATAACCATACATAAATTGCCATAATTTGCAGTTTATCTCTTGCATCTGCATTTGCAAACATTTCGTTATTCAAAATTTAAGTGCATGGGCAATGCAACCTGTCCACTATAGGTTCTAGAGTATATACACTGATGAAACTTCATTGACAACTAATCAATAGCTCATGTATTATACAGGCTTTTAAAAATCGATTAATTTTATACAAAAATATAGAATAAAAAACTCGTAATTAGGTAAAAAAATGGCTTTTAAAATATCTCATGTGTACACTCTTGACAGTAAATTAGACAGCTGAAGAAATAACAGTGAAGAAACAAAGGGAAAGTTGCGCGTTATCTTGATTTCATTTTGAGCGAGTGGTCCAAATGAAACACAATCCTATTATTACATTACAATGGAAGTGTTCAATCACTGATGAAGCCTATCTCTGTTCCTATCTATCCCTCTCAATATTACATTACAATTCAAGTGCCATAAAACACTCTCAAGTGTAAAACTACTTCAACTTTTAAATCAAAACGAAACTCCCTACCTACTCACTTATCAGGTATTTGGATTTTCTTTATAAAAATTTCAAACTGAGTATTTTTAAAAATTACAAAAAAATTAAAAATCAAACCAAATTAGACGCATCACGTTGCGAATCACCGTCTCTGTTCGAACCCGACCGCTTGACGGTGCTCGTCGCGGCGACACCAATGGTGGCGCGACAAATCGGGCAATTCGAGTGGTTGCTCAGCCACATCTCAATGCAAGAAGCGTGGAACGAGTGCTTGCACGCGCTCAGTTGCCGGACTTCCTCGCCGTCCGCGAACGCCGACAAGCAAACCGGGCACTCGCCGCCGATCTCCTTCGAGTGCTGCTCCTTCTGGTACTTCACGCCGGAAGCTGCGGCGGTGGCGGCACTCTCGACGTCGTGGTGCGCGATCTCCGAAGCGACGGAGGGATCGCCGACGGAGAGTTCTCGGCGGCGGAACGACGGGCAAGGGAAAGCGAAGATGAAGGTGTAGATTAGGGCGGGGATGGTGACGATGGCGACGAGGGCAAGGAGGAATTCGAGAGGCGAGAGATCGACGGAGCTGTGAGAGGAGGGGAAAGGCGGCGGAGGTGCGGGGAGGACGGTGATCTGGAAGACGGAGTTGGGAGCACCGGCGAACGGTGGCGGGGGAGGAAAGGGGAGGACGGTGGCTTGTCCGGCGGAGCGCGGCGGAAGAGGGAGGGGGAGCGGTGGCGGAATTGAGATGACGGTGGGTGAGTTTTGCATTGTGACAGAAGTAGAGAGAGTGATTATTATTGTTATTATTATTAATATTAATAATGTCATGTGTGGCTTTTTGGGTGTTTTTGTGGACTGGTCTTATTTTTCTTATTATTTATTTGAGGAAAAAGGTGGTTGAAAATGGTTGTTGGGAGAATGAAAGGGACTGAGAGTGGAATTTTGGTGTGAGAATTCTTTGAAGTAATAATTGAATTGGGTGAGTGAGAGAGTGTGATGAGCATGAGACGATGAGGAATGGATGGGAATGGAGAAATTTTGGGTTCAACTGTAAGAAGACAGAATACACAGCTGGACCCTTTTGTCACAATACCTATCTCTCTTTTCCTTTCTTATCTTTTATTTTTCTTATCACTGTTACAAACAATACACAGCTCCAGTGTCTGTTTCCGCTCTTATGCCATTTTACTCCATTTCAGTGTAATTATTTAATGCATATTTCAAGAAGCATTTCACAGATATATATATATATATATATATATATGCATTTCACAGATATATATATATATATATATATATATATATATATATATATATATATATATATAAAACTACATTGTAAAACTTTTTAGGATGTTCTATTAGAGTCCAAATGCCCGCCCACCTATGTAAAGTGACAACGTTTTAAAAAGTCATGCATTTCCTCTTTAGACCCACATATTTCATTATTGTATCTCCATCTATATTAAATAGATAAGGTTTCTCTCCCTAGAAAATATTTAGTATGAGAAAGAAACTTCTTATGTTGTGCACAAGATAGTTTACCATTTAAACATACGAGTTTGAGAGATTGCCAAGAGATACTCATTAGGAAATGTCTCTCTTGAAGGAAAAGGATCATCCATCTTATTAGGCCTTAATTTTGCTTCCTATTTTAAAATAAAATATTTAATTAATAAAAATAATTACTTTAGACATAAGCAAATAGATATAAATTTATCAAATGTAAAAACTATAGTTAACTCTTTTTTCATTGTTATATAATTTTTTATGCCTCACCAAGGGTCTTGTAAATATAGAAATGGGTTTAAATTTTTCATCTTTTCGTTTTCCTAAGACTACCTTTATTACTATATCAATGGCATTACGCATTAATTCTAAAGGTAAAGACTAATAAGGACCAATAACAATAGAAATATAAATTTATCTTTCAATATTTAAAAGGTTAGGATGCATTCATTATTAAATTCAACTGAAACATCTTTAACTAATGAATTAGATAGATATTTAGCTATTTTAAAAGATCTTTGATAGAAACTTGCACATTCCAATAAACTCTTAATCACTTTGCATTATTAAGTGGGCAATGTTTATCTATTACCTTAACTTTTGTAAGATCTACATTAATTCTCTTGTAGGATATTTTCCTTCCTAAGATAATACATTCACTTATCATGAATTAACACTTCTTTTAATTGCAAATCAAATTTGTTAATTTATATCTTTTACGAACTTAGTTTAAATTTTACAAACTATCAAAAGATGAGCTATAGATAGAAAAGTCACTCATAAAAACTTGTATAAAATCCTTTAAGAAGTAAAACAAAATAGACATTATGCATCTTTAAAAAGTAGTTGATGTATTACATAATTCAAAAAAACATCTTTCTATAGGTAAAGGTAGCAAAAGGGTATAAAAAAGCGACTTTGTCTTCATCTTTAAGGGTCATTGGTATTTGTATATAGTCAAAATATCCATCCAAAATAAAAGCAAATGCATGAGATATTTTTTCTAACATTTGGTCAATAAAAAGAAGGAAAAAATGATATTTTTAAGTAGCCTCGTTTAATTTTCTATAATATATCCATACTCCTACCAATTTCCTTTCTTACAATAATGAACTCTTTTTTGTTATTCTCCATTTCTTTAATTCTACCTTTTTTAGGGTCAACTTAGAGGACTCACCTAAGGGCTATAACAAATAGGATACATAATTCAAATATTAAGGAGTTTGATTACGTTTTTCTTTATCACCTCCTTGAACTTGAGATTAAGTCTACGTTAGGATTTTACCTTTCACTTGAAATCTTCTAAATGAATTTTGTGATTAAAAATAGAAAGACTAATACATTTATGTTATGCATAGTTTAATCAAAGGCTGAATTGTTTACTCTTAAAACATTTATGAGCTATCTTCCACTGCTACTTCCAAACAAGAAGATATAATTAGTAAAAGAGATGATAACGATGACAAAATAATATATTTAAAGTTAGAGGAAAGAGGTTTGAACTCATGCTTCATAGAAAAACTCCTTCTCATACTCATGAAAGACAATAATTTTTTCCAATAATTAAGATGATACAAAAGTTGAAAAATATTGTGTTAAGAATTGACATAGTAACTGATACATGTAGAGATACTTTTCGTGAGTTTTGATGCTTATTGTTCTTTTCATTTTGTCTTTTTCAATTTTAGTATAAGGCTCAATGATAAGAAGAAAAATATGCTTTTTTATTTCATAAATGAATGTAACATTATTCTTCTCAATGATAATACTACGTTCAAGGTCAACTATTAAGTTTTAGAGTTTTCTTAAATTTGAAATCTTTGAATTTTACACTAGTCGCTATCTATTTGAATAGACTTCTTTCTGAATAAATCTTGATAGATGAGTTGTCTTCTGAATCATCTTATAGTTGATGTGAACTATATAGCCAATTTAATCTTATATTTTCTTTAAAAATGATGCGGTCTTTATTGATTGTTTCGTTGTATCATCTTGTAGACATTACTAAAATATTTAAGAAAAATAGTAATATCAAACAGTTCCTTTAGATAAAAAGTTTTTTATTAATCAAATATTGACTTTTTAATCTCTTAAAAATTTTTCCTTAACAATTTTCTTCTTTATTCTCACAAACTTTCTTTTATTCTTAGATGAATATTATAAAAATATCTTAAATAAAAGCAAAAACAATAAATGTTATCACCTATATAAAAGATAAACATGAATCAACATTTAAGTATAAGGTTAGAACAATATTATAGGTATGAGTATATCGGGTGATGTTCCATTGATGTATTATATGATTATACATAAATTAAGTGAAAAAAAACTACATCAAAGAAAAAATAAATAAACATATTTATTCTCCCATTTTCTCATGATTAATATTGATGAACCAATATTCTAATTTGGTTCATTTGATATTACTTGCTTCTTCGTGAGTGATTTCAAAGTGTCTTACATTTTCTTAATTGTCTTACAATTAAAGAATTTGATGTGCTTAATAGTAAATAATGCACAAGTTATGAAATATTTGTTCATGATATTATTACACTACTTGTTGATCTTCTCGTAGTCCATTGCTCCTATAGGTTTACATACTCTAAACACTAAACTATGGAGATTTGATGAATATTTTCATCATATTTCTTTAAAATGAATAATTGTCTCTAAAAATATGTTTAAGGTTTAGAAATTGATCATTCTTTTAGGATAAGTTGATTCTAAAGATTTATTGTATTTTTCTAAGAATTTTTACTTCTTTAACTATTAACTCCTCAATCTCTATAGATCAAATTATGATACCAATTGAAATATAGATTGAAAACAAGTTAAGTGAGCCAGGGGGAATTTGAATATATTTTCAAAATATTTTTCTAAACTATTCATAAAGAACTCTTTCATAACATATAAGAGAGAAAAGTTTAAAAATTGAATGCACAATACTATTTCACTCTTAAGATAATGTGCTACATTTAGTCCTTGACCTCCCTCAAGATTTTCATTGTATCAGTGATTAGTATATATTTATTTCACTGTCTAAGTATTCTTGCACAAAAACCTCTTTAAACTCAACTAAATTTCATGTATTCTTTGATACACTATATCTTTAAACAAACAATTTATTCCCTAAATATTATCACTCAATATGTTTAGACTAACATATTTTTTATACAAGAAAGAAAATTATATACACAAAACAAAAGTTTTAGTGAAATGAATGATCTTTCTTTTCATAACATTTTTTTTCTTCGTTTTTCATACAAGTGTCCTTGATTTGTAGTAAACTTACTCAAATTTATACGTAGGCACTACCATATGTTTGTTAGATATCACAAATTTCTTTAAAAAATTTCTAATGTGTGCAAAGACTTTTTTTGAGTCTAGAGCACTTCTTATCTTGTTTTTTTTTTTTTTTCTTTTCATTTTAGTGTAAGGTGCAAGGATGAAAACAAAACTGTAATCTTTTCTCTGATAAATATAAATGTTCTTCTTCTTAGTAATGATTCTACATTCAAAGTTAACTCTTAAATTTTAGAACTTTCTTGATTTTGAAATATTTGAGCTTTGCACTTGTAGTTTCTATTTGAATAAACCTTTTTTGAATAAGTTTTGATAAGTAGACTATCTTCTAAATATTTTACCAATGACATGAATAGTATAATCAATCTGATTTTACATTATTTTATAAATAGATATTTATTATTGCTTAGTCATAATGTTTTACCAATGCTTGTGAGACACTTAAACAAATAACTTACTCATATTAAATATTTTATTTTAGATAAAATGTTTTTCATTCATTAAGACAACTCTTTTTTTTTATTGGTAATAAGCTATAATGACTTGAAATCCCTTTAAGAGTTTAGTACATATGATTCTTTGGTTGTATATAATAGGCTCTTTCTAACTTTAATAATTACATAACTAGTGCAATTTTTTTATAAAAATAATAAAATACTGTAAGTCCATTAAAAATATATATAATAAATATGATTATTTATAAAAATAGCATTTAATTATTAAATTTAAAAATTCATTTTTTTTTGTTTTGAGTCTTTAATATCTATCATCAAACGTATGAATTAATTAGCTCAAATTGTTAATGTTTGACCAATAATTTTAAATTTTAGTCTTAAAAGTAACATTGTATTAAATATTTAAAGAAAAAATACAATGCAACAAAAGTAAATAATAATTAAAAAATATTTTAAAATATCTATCCAGTTTTCCTTTTATAAATACTCATTTATATCATTCTCTATTTTTCTCACTGTATCTCTGTCTTTATTATATTGCTATTTTTTATTTTTTATTTTGGTTGTCTCTATTCTTTAATCTATGATATATACGTTTCAAGAAGTATAACAAAATTTTCTTTTGTTAAGGGTTTCAACGAAGAATAGTCTAAAGATACTATTAAAAATAAATATAATAAATAAGTGTGTTTAAAAACATAGCATTTCATTTATTAAATTTTAAAATATAAATTTTGGATTTTAAA